ACCATGTTTGGTATTATTTCTCTATGGTTCAAGCATCCTCCCAAAATTAATCCAGACAGCCAAAGTATTAAGGAAACAAGTAATACAAACCAAATGTGTGACTTACAAGTCTGTATCAATTGATTTTGAAATTTGATTTCATATGATTACTTGGAGTTTGATTTCAAAGGACTTGCGGTGATGGAATTCCCTTGCTTCTTAATGCTGCCTCGCAAAAAATCAAAAGGCCTAACAAACAAATCTTAATGATTTCACAGCCAGATTTACTTCCTCTGCCTGCTGGTAAATGTGAAATAATTTTAAACTATAGCATGAAGCTTGATCTTGTCCTTAATAATTCCTTAAATTCTGTGGAAGTTTTAGCATCAGACCCAGTTCTTATCAAAGTGAGTGAAAGCTGTGTTTTTAATTAAGAACCCTGTAATTAATCATAGGAAGAAATCAAAGACTTTCTGATCATGCAAGAAACCATTTTTTAATCTAAGGGACTGTATTCTTGATTATATATGGACTCTGTAATTTCAGTTTTACACTTCATTAAGTCTCTTTAGCTACAGCAAAGTCCTTATCAATGTTGTGATGTACTTTGGAAAACAGGTCAGGTTTTCGTTTCAAGGGAACCACATTCCTTTACAGCGAGAAAGAATATGATTTTCAACAAGCTCTACTGCATGAATTCTGAACTAATAATGGTAATAGGCTTATTATAACTATTATAAGTGTGATTATGTTTGAAGGAGAGGGACGCAGGTTCAGGTATACTACATATAATTTTCAATAAACATTTAACTTGTCTTTCAAACAAAAGTGTTTAGAAGAATGTGTTTTTGGAGTCATGCTAATATCTACCTGAATTATCCTGTTTCTCTTCAGTTTTCAATGAAGTCCATGACAAGGTTCTGACATTCTGCCTGACATTTCACTTTTCTGTTTATCCCTTCTCTACCTCTTAGATACTATATTCCTCCCCTTTCCTTTCCAGAAATTCCTTATTTTGTGTTTGAAGATTTTCTCAGATGCGATTTCATCTATAAACCCCCACATCTATTTCTACGTGGATTGACAAATAAGCAGCATAGTGTTGTAAATACTACACAATAGTCAGTTCAACAAGTCACATGAGTGCAGTGCTGCCATCACAGCTTTAAAAGCTCAGAAAACAAACATTGGAACAAAAAATCCAGTGTAGGTAATATCCATAGGATAACCCACCTTACTACTACTGTTGTATCCCTGCTGTAAGGATCATACCACCCCACTGTGTGCCCTGGCTTCTTTGAGAAGGAAATGTGGATGCAGAGGCAGGGAGTGAGACAGGAGTGCTGGGGCTGGGTCAGCCTGGAGCCAGCACTGCAGACAGCACTGCACAAGGCACCTGAGATGCAAGCAAATCCTGCAGGGGAACAAGTTCAGCAAGAGGGTGGTGCTGGGCAGTCTGCAGCTGGCCAGCGGTGCAGATATCGCCACCCATCACAGCATCCCTGTTGTACTTCTGCTGGAGTCAGCAGTGGCTTTGAATTGATTTCAGCAGAACAAAGAGTGAGGGCCTTGCTTTGAAAATACATAGTGGGAAACTCATTTCCCTTTCCACTGCATCAGCAGAAATTTCTGAGATTTATATTCTCAAACAAGAGAATTTGGTGCAATAAATGTTATATTTAGCAGTTCTGAGTTAAGGTCTGATATTCTCAACAGAATATTCTGATATTCTGTTTTACACAGGCACACCACTAATTTATTTTTGTTACAGAAATTAGAAAATACAATGCAAGGATACATAGACAAAATGTAAAGGTGTATATATATAAAATATGAACAGGTTAGTGTTAACTATTAAAATGGTATTTTTGTGTTTTCTGTCATTTGAACATTTATATATGTCTCCTTAATGTTGCGTTAAAGCAGATTAAGATATATAAGTATATTCTTATCCTGAGTTTCTTGTCTTTAAATAAAGAATTGTAAAGAGGAGAGTTAAATGATCTGCATATCAGAACTCTAAAAACACCTGTGGATTTTTTTCAAATTTCAGGCAATTCTGAAAATTTATAATAGCTTCAGGTCTACCTAAGGTTTTTCCTTTAGCTTTCCAAAAGCTTCAAAATGGAGGAAGATTATTTCAGGCCAAATGAAGTGTTTCAAGGATATTTTAAATAAAAGAAAAAAAATAAAGAGGGAGAAGTTTATAAATAATAAAAAAACCCCAACAAAATTAATATTTTATGTGTTTCAGAAAAACTGTTTCTCTGGGAAGCTTCCTATCTGAAATGGACACAAAGTTACTAAATGTACTTTGTATTCTTTAATTTTGACACTTCCGCAGCGGTACATCTGAGACCAATGGATGAAGAAAATTCTGGAAAAAATTGCTTGCTCCCATGTAATCAGTATGATTACTGTGGACGTACATTGCTCTATAAATAAGTTTTATATATGCTGTCTCAACCCTGGATATAGTTTTAAAATACAGAAAAAACTTCCATTCATTTCTAATATTAATGTTTATTTGCATACTTACTTTTACTAATTATTTACATCTGAATTAACTGTTGCAAATATTGCAAATATTTTTATATTTAATAATTTAATAATTCAAATATTAAACAATAGAGATATGAGAATGTAGATATCTAATAAGAAAGATGTGTTCAGAGCAACTTGCTGGTTACTACTAAAACATCAAATTGGTTTTGTGATCTGCTTTGTAGATCTTGAGGCAAAAGGGGATTTCTTGGAGCTCCTGCTTGTGAATTTATGAAAGAAAAGTTATCTTCACCATGAAGACATGAAATAAAATTGACTCACATAAAGCATAAGCTAAAACTTTCATTTTCAAGAATTACTCTGAGAAAGCCAATTTAATTAAGATGAAATTCACTGCGGTCACCTCCAGATCAATTAATCTTCATGTTAAGAGCTAAAGTGAGGCGTGAGTCATGCGGAAGCATTAGATGGGCTGTTTTCCAGGAAGAATTCTGCCCTTGGAGTGGCCACTTTAAATGAAGGAAGTTTCAGTACACTGTGCAACACAAGTCTCATGTTCAGAAAACTCATGACCATTGGTTTAGCCATTTTCTTTCTAGATGCTTGCAAGAGAGAGTTTCTGATGTCTTCTCCCTGGCCTGTCTGAGTGCCTCCTGTTCATGGTTAGTGAGGGTGCTGCAGGCTCCGGATGACCCACAGACCAGGGTTAAATCCTCTCGTTCTTGGTAGTGCTTGGTAAGAGGAAGGACCTCTTTTGGGCCATGCTCTCTGCCTCAGTTTGTGGAAGCCCCAGGAGCTCTGGTACGACATTGGGCAAATGATCATAGTTGAGACCTCTGCTCTTTGGGTTTTTCCTAAACTGTTCAGAGTGGCAGCCTTTCATCTTGTTATATAGTGTACGTGCACATTAAAATTGTTTCCTGTTAGTTTTCTTTTAGTAAAAGTCACCAGATGCCCTACGTGATGTAGCTACACAACCTCCATTGAAAATTAAGGGAATTGTATACATAGTATTTTAGTCAGCTTTGATAAAAGTCCAACCTTTATTTACCTGTTTTTCATTTGCTATTAGAATTGGATTTTGAATAACAATCTAAATGCGTGCTTTGACTCTCTAGATAGCATCTGTATAGCTCTGAAAGTTCTGCAGTAGTTTGTTGTGTAATTAATATGAGTGTGACTTACATGCTTTTGCTGACAGAGGAAATGAAAAATAAGAATATATCTATCCTCTCATCATCCTTTATGTAGACTTTGGTTGGTGTTTATTAAAAAAAACTATGCTGGGATATGGCTCTCAAATTCTCTCTTCGGCATGGCAGCTCATGCTGTCAGCAATCCTGTGAGGGTCTAACTATTCGATTTCTTTGTAACTTGTCTTTGTGACTGATTTTTGTCCTAAAAAGCACTAAGCCTATCTTTAATGTTTCATTTAGAGAGTGCTCTCTTTTTTCTGATTTTGTACTGATAAATGTAGAAATCTGAAAACTACTTTAATCAGAAGAAACAGGCTTTACTTTTGTTCTTGCCGTGCCATTTATTACATGACAGTATAGAAACAAAAACAGTTAATGGTATGCATGCTATTCTACAATTACAAATCAGACTTTTAAGAAATTTTTTAAAATATTTACACTGAAAAAAAACCTTTTTGTCTTTGTTCTATCGTTTCTTCATCTGTCATTAGAATGGACTGTGAAAAGACCTCTACAAAACTTTCTAACTAATGATTTAATTATTTTATTTTAAAATGTAAGCTATAGAATAATCAATATGTGGTTCCAGAAAAAATAAACAAACTTGTTCATCAACTCACATCAATGGGTTGTTTTTTGGGGGATGTGGTTCTTTTCCTTGTTTGGGGGATGTTAGGAGATTTCTGTAATCTCCTATCAGATCAAAAACTCCGCAACAGGATGAACAGAACTTCTGTAAGTGTGTGACTCTAATGCCTTAGTCAAGTACATTTTCTGTAACCAACTAAATTTAAATAGACTTTGTAAATGCCTGAAGATTTAGTGTTGTTAATATATATATTATGTATATATATATATAAGTATGTTAATGCCTCTCCATGGAGACAATAGCAAGAAACTGTAGTTTTCTGCTGGTGGAATTTGAGAGCACATTACCCTACTGTATACTGTAGCACAATCAATACATTTTATTTTTCTGATTGAGTCTGATTAAAGCTCAACTCCAGAATAATGACCACAGAAAGAATTAATAGAATTTCTCAGTATTAAAAACATTTTTCAGAGTAGTCTGTTGAGTTCATAATACATAGTATGGGTCTAATGTGGGAAGACTTTCAAACTAATGTCAACAATATTTGATTTATACCATTGAGAAGCCAGGGAATATCATTATCTCCTCCACCCCTTCCTCCCCTCTGCTCCCCTCCCCCCACCCTGCCCCGGAGCCTCCTAGGCTTCCAGGAGTCAGAGGTAAGATCATTTTTCTCTATCCTGTTAATGAAAGGTTAATTTGGTACTTGTTAATTTATAAATGTTAGTTGCAAAAGAACAATTTATTAAAATCTTCTTCAACATTGTTTAGTCCAAATTTGTTTGCGTGTTCTAATCTACAAATAAAACTATATGAGCTTGTTAGTTTGATGAACTTTATCTAGTATATTTTCCATATAATATGTGTCTCAATTTGTTTCAAAAAGTACATACAGACAGACCAAAGAGAGTACTAATTAAATCACAGATCTCCATCTGACTTTGCAGAGATGAGAAGTATAAAGATAGCATCTTTATACTTGTGTATTGAGGAAACTTCATTTGGGAATTGTGTAGGAAATGCAGATATGCAGCTCTGTGTGGTGTTATTGTTATAATCACTCCCAAGGCTGAGACTGGCATTTTTGCTTTTGCAAATCAGCCCTCAGAATAGGTGTAAGCATTGATGTACAGACAGAGTGCTAGAACATTCCTTAGGAGAAAGCCGTAGAAAGATTCAGAAAGGGACTGTGGACCAAAGGAGCAGTAAGACAAGTTAATGCTGTGGAAGCAGGATTAGATTTTATCACTGGAGGCCTGTGTTGGTTCATACCAGAGATTTGTAGGCTTCTTGCAACCTACAAGCTTTGAAGCCTCTCTTTCTGACCACCATCAGAAGTACAATACTGGATTTGGCCTAAAAGAGAGAAAGAAGGTGAGAGACGACCTCTATACTCAGAGAGAAGGATTTTCACTGGACTGTAGGAGGAGAATTTCTCAATCCTGCTTCAACTTATTTATTGATGACAAATGGAGAGGCCTCAAAAGCCTTTAGAGGAGTTCTTCACAGAGCACTCAGTACCTGTTTATTAGGGACTTTTTGCAGTATGTGACATGACTGAATTTGTGTCCTGACATTAAATTGAGTGGAGTGGGAGTTTGTAAAAGGCCTTAAGCGCTGTACTCTAGGAAGGGTGATCTCTTTTGTCTGCTGTGATGGGGACAGGCAGTCTACTGCATGCTGAATATGGTGGCATGGCTGTTGCACTAGTACTTAACTCCAACCCTCGGTGCACAAATGAAGAATATGCTGTAAGAAAATTACAGAATATATAATTTTACAAGAGAATCTTCAGAGATTTCAGATTAAATTTAAAGAAATAGTTGATTCCCAGACTTCCTTTTTTTCTGTCTTCTGTGTTTCTGCATTGAACTATACTTCCTCATAGAAAATGTTGTTGTAAACTTGGTTCTCCCTGGCCAGGATGCAGTTCCTCAGTGCAGACTCAACGTTTGTCAGGAAGAGCTGTTGTGGCTGAACATGTTCTATCTACATGAGTACTGCTACCCTTTGAGCTAGTCCACAACCCAGGTGGTTGGCCACTTCTCCAAACATAATCCTATTAAACATCTTAGACTGGGTCTTAAAAAATGTATTATCAGTTGAGTCCTTGCAGAATTAATAATTCTGTGAATTTAAAATCTTGGATGATATGGTCTGTATTTTTGTTTTATAGAGGCTGACCTCATTCCTGAACTGAATGAAACGGAAGAATATGAGGTATAGCATTCATTTATTTTTAAGAGAGTATTGGAACTACATACATTTCAACTAAATTGAATTGACATTCTGTGAAAATTTACAAAATTATGCCACCAACTGAATGTATTATCTACATTTATATGTACATACATATATATGCATATACAGCCTTCTCTTTCAGCTATATTTCTCCTTAAATAACTCTAGAGATAACTTGCTAGGTCTCTGGGGCTGGAGATACATGAAGAAGTAAGGGACATCACAGGACATGTGTAAATATTTTTGAAAATGAGGCATCAAGTTATTTTCACCTCTGAGTCCAACAAATTTGTTCATTTAGCAGAATCAAAGCTGTCACTCAGTGTTGGGCTTTTTAGTTTGTTTAAAGAGAAATCAGACTTGGGCTTGCCTATGATGGTCTTAGCTTGAAGTCAGCCAAAGTAAGGGAGGAAAGAGGTTGTGCTAAAGAGTGAGATTCATGTGTGTCTGTTGTCAGTGTGCTATTGGTTGTATTTAACAGTTATTCCAAAATTCTTGGAGGGTCATTTATGCTTATTTCTTGAACTGAAGTTAGACTTTACAGTATAACTCTATTTTACACAATTTTGGATGAGGGCTATGTGTGGCTATCAAATCAAGTCCCTTCAGAAACTGAAGGTGCCCCTCAATGTAGTTTGCAGAGTTGTGCTTGGACAGGTTTGTTTCTGGTGCAGTTCTAGATGGGGACATAGCACAGAACTGCGGATGCTGCTGTGTCTAGGTCAAAATTAAAATGCCTGCTGAGCAAATTAGATGCTTCCACATTATGTATTTTGATTTTGGGCAGGGAAAGTTGGAGAAACAAAGATGATTGAGGGAGTGGAGCATCTCTCTTGTATGAGGAGCATCTGAGGGAGCTGGGTCTCTTTAGCTTGGAGAAGAGGAGACTGAGGCATGACCTCATTAATGTTTATAAATTTGTAAAGGGCGGGTGTCAGGAGGAAGGAGCCAGGCTCTTCTCTCTGATCTCAAATGGTAAGACAAGGGGCAATGGGTGCAAGCTGGAGCATAGGACGTTCAACCTGAAGATAAGGAAAAACTTTTTTACTGTAAGGGTGACAGAGCAGTGAAACAGGCTGCCCAGAGAGGTTGTGGAGTCTCCTTCTCTGGAGACATTCAAAACCTGCCTGGACGCGTTCCTGTGTGACCTAGTCTAGGTGATCCTGCTCTGGCATGGGGGTTGGACTGGATGGTCTTTTGAGGTCCCTTCCAACTCCTAATATTCTGTGATTATGTGCGATTTGAACTTAGATCCTCAAGGCTGGCCTAATCCTGATTGTATTTAGGCATGTAATTTATTTATTTCTTTTTGGATCTGTCCTTAAAAGTCAAAACCCTAACACAGATTTTTCACCAAGTATCATTATTCATGTTCAGCAAACAAAGAGTCATAGCAGGGACTAGGTAGTATCACTCATGACACTTGTGAAACTGTTACAGTCATGCTGACCATCCTGAAGTCTTTTCCAGAAACTCTGAAGATTCAGCAGATTTAAGGACAGGTCATAAATATATTTTACAGATTCTGTTACTTTGACAATTTAAACAATATCAGGATATTAGTTTAAATCTCTTAAGATATTCTGATAGCAACACCATTTTTTCATTGATGTGTATGTACTGCATATACAGTTGCATTTTATTAGGAAAGTTAGAGCTTTTTTTAATAAAATATTATGAATTAGTTTTATCTCTCAAGCAGGGTGAAAATAACACAATATTTAAGAAGCTGTTGTGACACAAGATTTTTTGGTTGGTGTAACAAATAAGTAATATTTTCAAGAGAGAAGAGGATACCTGTTCTTGCAGCTAAATATTTCACATGAAGACCAACAGTCTTCTCAAGTATTGTCATGTCTCTTGTTTCTGTGGAGCCAGAAAAATGTATTATTGCAATTTTGGTTTTCATTTGTGTGCAGTGTCTATAAACATTTTTAATTGTCTTCGGCTATAATATTTTTTCAAAGGATGAAGTTGATGAAAAGGAAACAGAGGTGGATGAAGAAACTGCAGTGATTTCTAGCACTGACAGTACAATAAACCAAATAAGAAGGAAAGATTTACAGGTGACTACATCCAGCTACAGCCAAGAAAAAATGGGGACAAAACCCAGTGAAGCTAAAACAGATAAATACTTAACAAGAGAAGAAGAATTGCGTGGTAAGGATGATGTTTTCAAAGCAGTTTATTATCCTACTTCTCCACCTGTTAGTGAAATTTCTGAAGAGGAAGATCCCTTTTTGGAATCCCAAACAATAACTGGAAGTCCTCCTCAACTCATTGACTCCGCCAAAGGTGCAGAAGAAGAATACATATACCTTTCTTCAGGCACTGAACCAACAAGAATAACCACTACTGGCCATAGTGACGAAGGTTTCTTATTGTCTCCTTTTAAACCTCATCAGGAATCTGACTTCTGGAATTCGGTTCTTACCACGTCTTCAGCACATCTGGTTACAGAGGAGACCTCCCAAGAAGACGCCCTTCCTTCAGGAAGCCCAGATATTAGCATGCACGATGTTCTTTCTCAAGGCTCCATTAAGTATGTTTCAGAAGGTGTAGCACCCTCAAGCTCTGATGAGCCTCCAAAGCACACTTCTTCCACTGATGGAAATCTATGGTTTCGTAATGCTACAGATCTGAAAGCTGAATCTGTTGATACATCGAAGAGCAGGCAACTGTCTCAGACCACTTACACTGATGCTTATGTAGAGGGATTAAAGCCAGCTACAGTGCCCTATTCCAGCAGCCCAGTGGTTTCACAAGACACATCAGATGCGGATTTAGAATTGCCACATTATTCTACCTTTGCTTTCTCCTCTGCTGAATTATCACCTCATTCTGTCTCTTCAAGCTCTGGAGAATATGGTTCTGCTTCTGCTGCCAGTGAGGTACTCTCTCAGACAACTCAACCAGTCTATAATGGTGAGATACCTCTTCAACCTTCCTACAGTAGTGAAGTGTTTCCTCTAGTCACCCCTTTATTGTTTGACTCTCAGATGCTCGACACTACCCCTGCTACATCAGATAGTGATGTGACCTTGCATGCTACACCTGTATTTCCCAGTGTTGATGTGTCATTTGAACCCACCCTGTCTTCCTATGATGATGTACCTTTGCTTACATTTTCCTCTGCTTCCTCCAGTAGTAAAATGTTTCACCGTCTGTATACAGTTTCTCAAATGTTTCCACAAAGTGCTACTCCACCTGTTGCAAGTGATAAGGTGTCCCTGCATGCTTCTTTGACATTGGCAGAGGGTGATACATTAATACAGCCAAGCCTTGCTCAATATGCTGATGTGGTGTCACATCAGACTACTCATGCTGCTTCAGAGACACTGATATTTGGTCATAATAGAACCCACATATTTTCTCAAGTTGAACCATCCAGCAGTGATTTAAATATGCATGTACTATCTACAATGTCTGAACTTCCTTACGCTTTGTCTAGTGATGTGAGCTCGCTCCAGAGCTTTACTGTTTCCTATGACTCTGCAGAATTTGTGCATGATTCTGTTGACGTATTTCGTCAAGATCCGTTATTTAGCAGCTATAACAATGTACTGATGCATAGACCTTCTTCTGTAATATCACAAGCTGATGCTCTGCTGCAGCCTACGCGCTCTCTATCTAGTGATACGGATTGGTCTGAAGCATACTCTGGTAGTGAGTCCCTTTTGCCTGATACAGATACTATGACAGTACTTAACGTTTCTTCCTCTGATTCTGTAGATGAAATTACGTATGAATCATCTGGGTTTAGTGATGTTAATAGGATGCTTCAAAAAGGTGATGTTATATATGGAGATGAGAGAGAACTGCAAATTGCCTCTTCTTTAAGTGAAATTGCTTCCAATACTGAAAGTAAAGTGATACCTGAACTTTCTACATCTGTTTCAAATGTTGATGTAATTAAGCAGAATACGTCTCTGCAAGAAAGCCCACTTCCTGTTTCTAGCACAAAGGGAATCCTTCCAGTCTCTCTTGCTTTTCCCACTACTAAGATATTTGATCATGATATTAGTAAACTTACAGAAAATCACCTTTCCGTTCAGCCTTTGCATGTTATACCTCCAGCCTTTGATGACACTTTGCTTAAACCTGTGCTTAGTGCAAGCCCAGATCAAGCTCTCTCTACCCCTGCTTTTAGCAAAACGTTGTCCTCGACTCAGCTGTACTTTTATGAGACCTCAGCTACATTAAATAATGAAGCATTACTGCAATCTTTCTTCCAATCTTCTGGCGATGGCACTCTGCTTAACACGGCTACAGCTGTGCCTAGTGATCCAATATTGGCTGAAAGCTCCAGGGTTCATAAAGATAGTTCTACATTTGACCAAATATTGCATCAAATGGCACCAGGTTCTGCTACAACTGAAACCATGCTGCATTCTACACCTGCACCTTCCGTTGCCGATTTGTTGTCAGACACTTTTAGTAAGCCCACAGCGTCACTTCAAGGTTTATCTGTTTCTTATGCAAGTGAGGAGTATGATTCATCCCATTTGTTTACCAGTGAAGATGTTCAGCAG